TTTATACCGAAATCTCAATAGCGATTTTAATTCTATCCCACATTATTCAGCATTGTCCAGAGAGGGTCTAACTTGGAAATGTGGGCAGTTTGGTCAGGCCTCAGGTGGAAATGTGGAAAAAAAGGCTAATCTTGTTTATTTACAACTGAAATTATTATAGATATGTATAGCCCTATTAATAGGACCTGTTGTGATGTATATCTGCCTGCTTGAAAATGAAAATATTACACATTTCAGTGTGTTAATGGGAGAGAAATGGCCTGTGGTTTGTTCACAGCAGAGGGGCAGCGCTAATCCGAGGGTCTCGGTGAAACGGTTTTCTCCTGCGTGGAAAGTATTTGCGAGGACTGTGCAGGCCGGACGATTCGGTCATCGTTTATACCGAAATCTCAGTAGTGATTTTAATTCTGTCCCACATTATTCAACGTTGTCCAAAGAGGCTTTAACTGGGAAATGTGGGCAGTTTGGTCAGGCCTCAGTGGTCAGGCCTCAGGTGGATATGTGGAAAAAGGCTGATCTCGTTTATTTAAAACTGAAATTATATATATATTTAACCTATAGTTCTATTAATGAGAGCTGTTGTGATGTATATCTGCCTGCTTGAAAATGAAAATATGACATGTCAGTGTGTTGATGGGAGAGAAATGGCCTGTGGTTTGTTTACAGCAGAGGGGCAGCGCTAATCCGAGGGTCTCGGTGAGGAAAACCCTCGTTTGGCTGAAGTTGTTGCGTGACTTTTGTAATGTGTGGCCGGAGAAAGGGAGAGAAAACCGGCTGAAACACAGCCTCCCCGCAGTGTGACTGTAATTCGCTGCGTTGCCCCTCCGTTTCTCTCCCGCTCGCTTAGCTTCTTCTACTCCTTCTCCTTCTCCTTCTTCTCCTCTCAGCCCCGGTTCTGCTACCGTATCTTCCCACTGCATCATGTTTACCTAGCAACACGCATCACCCGCTGCCGGCCCTCCGATTGGTCAGTTCAAATCGCAAGCGCGACCAATGGCGAGGCTGTTGCCATGGTACATTGTGTAGTTGCCGGGTGGAATTTCGCTGCGAGGCACGTGAGTCCCGGAATCTTCGCCTTTGCGTTTTTTAATCTCGGCTGTCTGGAAGCTCTGCAAACGTGATTTATTGGAACCGAGTCACATTTTTTAACCCCCCTCCTCACCTCCTTCTCCAGAACCTCGACTTATACATCTAGACGTTTATCTGCTTTTAAAGGCAAAACACTTTAAATGACACTTAAAGGGGGGGTCGTTTTTGGGCAGGGGGGCTGCAGTAGCTGTCACAGGGGGTGCGCACTGCTGCTCAGGGAGGAAAGAGGAAAGAAAGCAACTTTTACAGCTTCCACAGTCAGATATTAGCAGCAAAACAACTTTTTGTGTTGTGTGTTGAGAACCCGCACCCTTCGGATTTGACCTCAAGAACCCAAAAGTGCATCGCACTGTAGCCAGAGATGACAAAGTAGCTTCATAACTTTATTATAATCTAGTTTTTGTTTATACTTTATGGATAATAATGTAAATATTCACTATTCTGACTTCAGGAAAAAATATCCATAGTCATACTACAGGCATTTCTTATAATAATCTTATAGACAACTCTTAGTTTATTATGGGAATACTATAGTAGAGCTGTAGGGTACTGTACACACTTCTTTGAGGGTTCTTTCCTAAAACCATGTCATTCCTAACTTGTTCTTTGCATGATGAAACTGTTCTTCAGATTGAGGGAAAATGTGTTGATTTTATATAGCACCAGAAATGGTTCTTCAAATGTTCTTTAGTAAAGACAGTGGTTCTGTGTAGAACCATGAACACGCCAAGAACTTTGCATGCTTAAATGCTTATTTGCATGGTGAAATGGTTCTTTAGATTTATGGAGTCCTTTTGTTACAGGCTTGACGTTGTAACTGTAGCAGAACCCTTTTTAGTGCTATATAGAACCATGCACAAAACAATCTGGTGAACCATTTCACCTTGCAAAGAAGCATTTAAGCATGCAGACGGTTCTAGAACTCATAGAACAATGCCTTTACTAGAGGACCCTTGAAGAACCATCTTTTTAAGGGTGTAGGAAAGTATTACAATTATATTGTGAGGTGAAAATATTACATATTATTATTATTATATTATTAGAAGTACAGTTTGTTATTGTACTACGTTTTTTTATGAGCCAACTTTGGCGCCTGGCCTTCGACCTACAGTTACAAACTAGAAATTAAGTGCAGTTAAATACTTGTAAAAGTTTTTGAATGTTATAGTAAACGTTAGCTGGATTGTATGGGCCTCACCGAAGCTACAGGTTGGTCTTTTTCCCATTGTTTTGTTTTAAGGGAATCACATTCGTATTCAGTTGAAATCATAGTGAATAAATTGGTGAATAATGCTCTCAAAAGAGCGAAATGGGCTACGAGAAGAGCTCCGGCTTTGGAACAGGACTTTTAAATTATAAAAAGTAAATAAAAGTTCATGGAGAGTAAAAACACTGAATGGATCAGCGTTGTTTGTCTTTGCAGTGCTGAAGTAGTTTGAGCGTCTGTGTTTCAATAAAGTTTTCACAAGTTTGGGTGTTTTACACGTTTATACTTTGAATAATACAGTTTTCTTCTCTGAGTAAAACAACCCTCACTACTAAAAAACATTGGTTCTTCAGTAAAGGGAGTGGTTCTGTTAGGAATCATGAGTTCTGTGTAGATCTATTTCATGATTAAATGGTTCTTTGCATGGGGAATCTGTTGTATATGGTACTATATAGTATCAGAAAGGGTTCTTTTGTTGTTATGATGTCAAGCTTGAAACAACAGCAGAACCCTTTTGGTGCCATATAGAACCACTTTCAAAAGAAAGATCTACATAGAACCGTATTCAACACATTCTCCATCAATCTGAAGAACCATTTCACCATGCCAGTGGGTGTTCATGGTTCCGTACAGAACCATTGCCTTTACTTAAGGTCCCTTAAAGAACCATCTTTTTAAAACTGAAGACTTAAAAAGTTAAACTGAAGCATGCTCAGTTTGTTTTTTTTAAGGGTTCTTTAGTGAATGAAATGGTTAGAACCATGAGTTCTGCATAGAACAGTGTGCATGCTTAAGTGGTTCTTTGCATGGTGAAGTGGTTTTTCAGATGATTATGGAGAATATGTTGTATGTTTCTATATAGAACACTGTTGAAAATGGTTCTGCATAGCACCAAAAGGGGTTCTGCTATTGCATACGATGTCAAGCTTGTAAAAGAACAATAGAAAAACACTATTTGGTGCTATGTAGAACTATTTTCACCATGCAAAGCATTCCGTTGTTCTATATAAAACTAATAGTTCTAGACAGAACCAAGAACCCTTGAAGAACCGTTTTTTAGTGTAGTGTTTATGGTGGAAGTCTCATTGTTTTTCTTAGTCATGTTATGATCCAATAACTGACTATCCATAATATATATACTGTAGATGTACCTTATATAGGATTAAGTATGTTCTAAGAAGTGTTTATAATGCCAGCTTCGTGCTATTATCTAAAGAACGTCTAATCTCTCATGGTTCTCCTCGTTTCAAAGCCTGTGTATCTCTGGTTCTCCCTTCTGCTCCACTCGTGTCCATTTACCTGAAGTCTTGTGTTATTCTCGCGTCATTCTGGCTGCGTTTGGAGACAACGAGGAGTTTAGGCGGAGGGGGAGGGAGGGGGGGAAGGGCAGACTCTCTCGCTTCAGCTCCGCCCACAACAGCGAGCTGGCCAATCGAGACGGTGGAAGGGACCCGTCCTGGCAAATCGCATGCGAGCTGCCGTGGCGTCGGCTAGCAACAGAGCATGCGAACGCGCGTCAGCGAGAGCGGGAGGGGAGGGGCGGGGAGGGAGGAGAGCAACGGCTGTGCGCGCGCTTTAGCACAGAAAAAAGTTGGATGAAACTCTGAGGAGAAAGAAAATCAATCATACGTTTCTGTTTACGTGAAAAGTTGAAAGTTACGGCAACAGAACACGCCAGAACTCGCTAAAACCCATCGCCGTGACCTTATATGAGAAACGGAGATGCGATTTCGTGTAACTTTTTTATGTATTTATTTATTTTCTGCGTAATTCACCTAAACGCCGAGTCTGACTGCTAAATGCTAAAGCTGTAGGTCATTTCGTCTGAAAGGGGAACTCCAGCGAATTTTCAAAAAAAAAAACAGTCTGCATAATTAAATGGTTAAGATGTAAACAGAGTCGTTCAGAGTGGTTAAGTGTAAAATGCTCTGTTCTAGGTAAACTCCGAGTCAGAACTGTTCACAGTGGTGGGGATAGGAACCAGACGTCCACCTCTAAAAGCTCCTCACAGAGTTATTACATAAAACGGTTATGAATTCACTGCCTGATGACTGAGACACTGTTTTATGATAGTTTTGTGATAATCCATTCATGGTGGAGGGATAAATGCAGGGTGTTGTGAGGCCAAATAGTCCCTAAGAATGTTTTTTTTTTTTCAGGTTTGTGACTTCTATCACCATCACCGTTATAAATAAAACTCAGAAGACTCGTGTAGGTTCACTGTTGGTTTTGGATAGTAAATAAACTGTCTATATTTGTGTTGAAGACCTGGTTCTGATGACCCCCACTGTAAAGAAATCTCATCAGTCTCAGTCCCATTTCACACCAAACCACTCCGAATCACTCTGTGTCCATCTCAAGGACTGAATTAGTCAGAATAAATAATATAGTCATTAAATGTTTCACTTAAAAATAAAGCAGATATGCCTGTGTGACGGATGTGCAGCAGGGAAAGGCTTAGGAGCTGCTGAAGTGGCAGCGAACTGAGATCCGGGATCGCGTTTTTAATGATATAAACTTGCCAAAATGTGTCGTCTCACATATATTAGAGCTTTCTCGGGATAGGGTTTCTACTTTTGTGCGATCAAACACTGAAGCTGCGTCAACGAGCGAGTGATTCTCCGCTCCACCCCCCCTCCCTCTCCGCGCTGGTAGAGCAGTCCGCGCTCCCCCCGTGTTTCTCGGCTGATGGTACAGTCCGTATCGCAGGGTGTGGAGTTGGTGCCGGGCGGAGAGGCGAGACAGCGGGCAACAAACAACGGCAGAGCTGCCTGGTGTGGACGGAAAACGAGATTAACTACACTTCGGAGAGACGAGGAGGCGATCGCTTGGCTTTCTGGAGTCGATTGCAGGCCGTAAAGCTGGAGAAGAGCTGGAGAGAGGCTCCGAAATAATGTGAGGGAGCAGCGGCGGCAGCTCGGGATGGAAGTGAGCTTGACAACAAACCGGTTCTTCGGATTGATCTAAGTTGACTCGGAGTCTATACACTTCAGCACGCAGCTGGCACTGCTCCGGACCCTGGACCCCCCCACATCTGGAGTTTTTGTGTTCTTCTGGTTTATCTAAGCAGCACCAAGTGATTGAGAAGCGCAATTTGAGCCCTTTTCTGGAGTCCAAACCACAACCCCCCCCCATCCCTAGACCCCTTGGAAAGGACCTTGGCAAGATCTTTCCCCTCCATTAAAACAGTAGGACGTTCTCGTGCCTGTGGACTTGCACTTCAGCACTTTCCGCTTCGTCGTCGTTCGTGCATGCAGATCATCCGGCGTCCCTTCGGATGCGTCTCCCACTTGGCTTCTTGTTGTTGTCGTTGTTGTTGTTGACATTTGTGATTCTGAGCACCTTTTGACCCGACCACAGCATTTCTCCTCCTCCTCCCTCACATCTGCTGACTTTGGTAGCTCGTCGACGAGGAGGAGGAGGGGTAAAAAAAAGTAAATAAAAGTACCTGCCACACCAGGATTAAAAAAAAAAGCAAGGCAACAGAATAGTTGCCCTGCACCTGTCCTTTTCACTGACGGCTTCGCTGTAGGGATACGCAGACGGAACCCAAGAAGCCCTCGCTATTTTTAGAGATAGTGATGGGGTAGATGGTGTTGGAACTGAAGACCCCCCCCAAAACCCCCCCACCACCCTCCTCGGCCCACCAGCACACCCCCGGCTTTAGCTCCGGCTGCTGAGTTGTCCGGACTGGCTCTTGCGTCGTCGCGTCGTCCAATTATTTTCCTTCAACTGGATGGAATCTTCTCAGCAACGGAGGACAATGAAACTAGCAGAGCAAACTTTAGTAACCAAATAACTTCATCCCCATATAAACAGAGAGATATATATATGTAACAGAGTATATATAATACAGATATATATTGCAGATCCGTAGTTTGAATATGTATATTCTATTTTTTATGCTTAAAGTGAGCATCGTTGCCTGAAACCCAATCCATTGCCTTAGATTTACAGTAATAAAGGGAATAGCAAGAACATAGTCAAACAACAGTGTTGGAAGTAACTTAATGGTGCCTTTTTTCGTTCATCGGTCTCGTCACTTCAGGATTTCACTAGCGGTCGAGAGATATTTTTGTGGTTGACTTGAGTTTAAATCCTTATTATATATACACATATATATATATATATATAAATATATACATATATGGCTCACACTTGAGTTTGATCGCCATTGGATGTACCCGGCTGTGTTGAAGATTCTCGATTGAAGCATGTGGGAAGGATTATTTTGTACTTGATGTCAGCGACTTTTTCCAAAGTGGTTTTTTGAACTTTTTTTCCCTCCCCCAACAAACTCGATTGATGTAATTCTTTTGAAGATCGCGGCTCGACACTAAAGCATTTCCGATGGTGATCACTTCATCCGTGGAGGAGAAGCCACAGCCTTCTAACAGAATGGTCGCCAACCTGTCGACCGAATCGTGGATCGGCAACCCGGATCAGAGCCGCTACCAGTCTCACCTGCTCCGGAAGCCGTCGAGAAGTTAGTACAACCTCTGTTCTTCCATCCGTCGCGTAATGGATGTACGTTGTGATCAATTAAGTGGGGGTTTCATGATCATGGTGGGAGTTCTAGCCTCCATGATTGGTGGGACCAAAGTTGGCCTAACTCGGGCAGTTTGGAACACCTGTGGCACGTGCTGAGGTGAAGGAGGTCCAAACTATCGTCTTGAGTTCTTTGCGAATGCGATTGCTCTGAGGAGCTTGTTGAGGTTTAAACTGCCAGTTTCGATCGCTTTGTTTGTTTGTTCCCTCGTTTCGAGGGATGACGGTCGGTCATGTTTATCTTTCGTCAATTTCACACAGTGAGAGAAAAATGCAGAGTAGTGATGACGTAACGACGCGTAAGCGGGGAAATCCCGGGAAGACCCGGTTCAGCCTCTCTCAGCTCCTACCAACTCTTAAATTAGTTTATTTTATCATATTGACTGAATGTTTCCAATTTATGGGGAAAAACTCACAAATTGGGTTACAAGAGCTAATTTTCTGCAAATTGGGCTCATCTTTTCGAGAGAATTGTGGTCAGTAATCAGATAAACCCATGTTTTCTTAAAATTTTGATGCTTTTCAGGTAGGATAGTTTCACAGGGTTGTGGGTTTTGCGCCCCAGGACGTGTTCCTGTGCGCCGGATGTGGATTGGTCAATTCTTTCACACACTTCAGAGACCCCCGTAGGCTCAGGTTCCTTTTCCCGCCATTGTTTCGGCTTTGGCTCCTTCAGACAATCGTGAGAACGCTGGTGCGGCGCTGCAGAGGCGGGCTGGGGTGTTTGTGTGGGTTCCGTGTGTTTGGATGCGAGCGTGTGGATGCGCACTGCGCTGTGCTGTGAGCTCACGCTGATGATCGCCTTGTTGCTGGGAATGCTGGAGCAGAACTCCGAGCTCCAGAACTGCGCGTTCTGTAGGGAGATGATAAAACCACTAACCCACTTTTGGAGTTGGCTGGTTGGGCGAAGCTGCGGGTGGCGATGTGATCGATTCCCCCCTGAGTGATTTTAAAGAGTTGGTTCCACCAGACATGCTAGAGTGGAGGCATTTGCATGATGCTAATTGGTGTCCATTCATCTTAATTGATGCAGCGGCTTTCTTGGCTTTCTTGCTTTCTTGGCTGGACTGTTCATTTAAACAGTAGAGTCTTTAAAAAGAGGGTTCTTTAGTAAAGACGGTGAAATTATTCTTCAGACTGATGGAGAGTGTGTTGAATATGGTTCTGTGTAGAACCTTTGTGAGAAGGGTTCTGCTGTGGTTATGATGTCAAGCTTCAAAACAACCTTTTTGGTGCTATAAAGAACCAAACAACACACTCTCTGTCCATCTGAAGAATGATTTCATTCTATGTAGAACCATGAACACTCAAAGAACCCTTCAATGATTAAAGCTTCAAGGTTCTTCATGGGTTCATCAGTAAAGAAAATGGTTCTATATAGAACTATGAAGACTCAAAAAATCCTTTAATGATAAAAGGATTTTTTGCAACCTTTCTTCAAGGTTCTTCTAATGATTAAGGGGTTCTTTGCAATCTTTGCAACTTGTTCTTTTACAACTTTTGGTGCTGTAAAGAACCATATACAATCTGTCTGAAGAATGATTTCACCACGCACAGAACCATTTAAGCTTCTTAAGGTTCTTTGAGTGTTCATTCTTCTATATAGAACCACTATTTACTAAAGAACCCTTAAATCTTTTTAAGGGTGTAAGTTAGTGCATGTGTAAAGGAGGTGACTGATTCTTATGTGTGTTCCTTGTTGTTTCCTCTTAGTAGTTATAATTATTTGTTCTTGTTCTGTTTCTATGACTGAGCTGCTAATTGATGTGTGATCTATTTTGTCCTAATTCTTCACCAAATTCTCAGTAATATATTTATTACCCACAAAATATAGACTAAACCGCTAAACTCGAGTCTGACTGCATGGAAACTGCTGTACACTGCAAAAAATGGCATCTTGTCAAGTAAAATGATCTTAAATATAGGAAATAAACCCAACATTTGTCCTGTTGAGATGGCTGTAAGCTTATTTTAAGATTATTTAACTTATTTCCAAACTTTTCTATTTGTTTTAAGTGATTTAAGTAAAATTCTCGCAGTATTGGAAGATAATTGTGCTTGTTGTAGAAAATGTGCTTGAAAATGATCTGCCAGTACAGTGAGACCATTTTACCATTTTTAAATGACCCAGAACAAGTAAATATCTAGACATAAGATGGATAATCTTATAATAAGAGCACAGCCATCTCAAAATGGGAAATATTAGCTATATCCACTAGATTTAAGATCATTTCACTTGAAAAGACGCCATTTTTTGCAGTGTAACTGGTGCAAACCAATCAGCTGAACTGGAGATCCAGCCAGACTGGGTTCAGATGGATGTTTGATGTGTGTGGTTGTGATTCGGACTGTAAGAAGTCTTGGTTTCTGCTCGTAATTGATGATCCGGAAGAGTCGAGAACTCAGAGAGGTTTAATGTGTCAGTGTGTTGCTGATGAGGCATTTTCTCGTGGTGGAAGATGGATTAATTGTCTGATCCTCTGTTTATTGTTTGCTGGTTATCTGGTTATCTCGTTCCTGTTCTCATTGTCCGAATTAACCGACTCAGTTAACCGTCAGGTGTTAAGCTCGCTAATGCCGTTAAGATATAATTGCTTAATTGGCCCATTTCAGCAAAGTTTCCAAACAAACAATCTGCATCATTTGCACTTCCTTCAGAATCAGTGCAGAGGTTTAATATGTATTTTTTTAAACTGTAGGTTCAGAGTTCAGGCCTTCAGGCTGTAGAGAGAGACGGTCCACGACTTTACGTCCTACAAATATCAGCCCCCCCACCAAGCCCCCGCCCAGCCCCCGCCCAAATGACCTATTTAGCGCTAAAATGACACCAGCAGCTCCAGTGGAGGCAACCAAACTGCATTTCATCACTCTTAGGCTTTGTTCACACAGCTGGTAAAAGTGGCCCAAATCTGATCTTTATCTTCATATGTGACTCAGATGTGACTCAGATGTGGGTCAGTGTGAACAGATAAACACACTGAATCAGACATTTTCAATTCCGATTTGAGACGCTGTCATATGTGGTGCTGAAATCCGATCCGTATCTGATCTGCGGCAGTGCGACTCAGTCTGAACAGTCAGATCAGAATTCATGCAACTTTTACGTCAATCCAACTCGACATTGGTAATAATTTCTCACTGCTGAGACTCAAAAACATCTGGGCTGATGTTTCTGTACAAAATTTAGAAGAGACTGATCCAAAACCTTCATGATTGAAGAGATTTCTAAAGAAATGTCCGAACGCGGCCGCAGGAGAACGAGGCTGCAGCGTCAAAGAACAGTTAAAAGTCTGAAAGCAGTTTAAAGAATCCGAGGACGCGAACCAAAGAAGTGACCGCGCCCTTTTTACGGCTCCAACACATTCTGGGTGATGAGCCCAGCTGTCAGTCAGTGAAGCTTCATGATGGCTCCTGTGATGCTGGTGAAGATGAAGCTGATCCTCCGGGAGCGACTGGCGTTCGTTGGCGGTCGTGATTGTTTACCTCTGGATGAGCCGTGAAGCAGCGTGAAGATTGTTCTTTTGCGCAATCAGGTCAGTTTCTGTTCTGTTCAGACTGTCTCATACAGATCACATTTAAAAGACATTGTGAGCAGACAAACAAACAAATCAGATTTGTTGAGAAAATCAGATTTGGGCCACTTTTACCTGTTGTGTGAACGAAGCCATTAAAAAAACCCTCAACTAATTTTCCTCTTTTTTTTTAGTTATTTACACCATTTTAATTTAATTAATATTGATAATTAGGAATGTTTCCCTTCTGCAAAGTTGATTTTCCCATCATCAGCCTTGTTTGGAGTGGTTGTTCAGTTAACCTCTTATGCTCGTGGGTATATTTTGGTTTTTCCATCTGAATTTACATGACCGAATCGTAAGGCAAATCATTCGGTTACTGCATGAAATAAATGTAAATTTTTTTTTTTCCTCCCAAATTAACAGAAAATGTGTTATTAACATAAACATGATGACATATGCTTACAGTTTACTGCTGAAAGCCAAAAAACTGAGACGCTCTTTGTATTATTTTATAAAAATAATTTGTACAGAGCAGATCAAAAGAAGAGACGCCATCTGAGATCCAGTTTGTAGCTCAGATTTGTGGAAAAATGAGTCGACTTTCAGTAGAAAAAAAAAATGTGAGTTCAGCCTCTTTTATTATAAGGGTTTAAAATTACATCACCATCTATTTGACTGGAAAGAAGACAGTTACAGCCTCATACGACCCCCACCTTTAGAATGTAGCTTATGAAATATGAACGTTATGAAGTAAAGAATATGACGAAGTGCGTTTAGGAGCCACCGGGGGTTCCACAGAGTTAAAAACGTTAAACGAATGTTCTGTGCGCTCTGTAGATGCTGGATCTCCGTCTCAACCGGCTACCAGTCAACCGTCCCTACTAGTCCACCCAGCGCCGTCCTCAACTCAGGGGAAACTACTGCAAAAAATGGCGTCTTGTCAAGTAAAATAATCTTAAATATAGGAAATAAATCCAGTATCTGTTGAGATGGCTGTAAGCTTATTTTAAGATTATTTAACTGATTTCCAAACTTTTCTATTTGTTTTAAGTGATTTAAGTAAAATTCTCACAGTATTAGAAGATAAATGTGCTTCGTGTAAGAAATGAGCTTGAAACCAGCAAAATTATCTGCCAGTACAGTGAGATAATTTAACTTAATAAAATGACCCAAAACAGGTAAATAATATCTCGAAATGAGCTGGATAATCTTATGCGCTCTGTAGAAGCTCACCGCTGGGCTACTCATACGTTTTGGTCAGAGCTGCTTGCTTGTAGGCGAGTTTGACCCCAAGGTGGTCGGCTTTGAACTCTTTCTGAAGAAGTATTGATCTGTAGATGATTGGCACGTGATTGGGATGTTCGCAACGAGGCTTTGTGGTGCAACAGTGGGGTGAAATGTGGAGACCTGGTTATGATGCAAC